CTGGCACCTCGGAGGTACCAACTAAAGGTTTGGAGTGTTTTTTTACAGGTGTCGATTTGGGATATGTGTTGATTTCCCTCATTGCTTAACGTAGAGCCTAATTACAAAAAGTTTGGGATTGTCGAATTCGACACATTTTTTTGGATTCGGGAAATCAGGTTCATAAGCTTTTGGTTTTATGGGGTTTAGGGGTTTGGTGTTTATAGTGTTTAAGAATCAGGAGCGAAGTAAGGGTTCAGGGATTTAGTGGTCTAGGGCTTAGGAACCCCCTGAGGATTTTGGGTTTGTACGGTCTAGGTTTTACTGGTAGGGGTTGGAGTAATTAGTAATGTTGTCTGCTTCTACTTCAGGGTTTCGGGTTCTGGGGTCGGAAGACTTAGTGAATCTGAGCGTCTTATAGGGTAGGGTGTTATGTATAGCGCAGTTTACCGTTCCTGAAAACAGAGTTGGGGTACTCAATGAAGTTTCAGGGTCGAGGTTGTCTTTTGTTTGTAGGGTTTATAGAGTCTTAAGAGTGTTTAGGGTGCTTGTGGGTTTAGATTTTGTTGTTCTTTAAAGTTTAGGCTGCTCATGGACACGGTGCGACAGTCGCACTGATGCAAATCTGGAGTCCGTCACCCTCTTTGTTGCTAGTCAGAACCAGGAGGTTTTCTGGCTTCTTCAGGGTCTCACTTCACTCAACCCTTCAATCATCGGGCTCGCTTAGGACTCCATGTCGCGCGTTGGACGAGCGCTTTTGAGATTCCCGCAGGCGATGTTGGCTGGCTTGTAAGCCTTAGATCCGGCCTTCAGAAATCTCAGATTCCTCAGTCACGAAACCCTAACTAATTTCTTGAACAACAAATAGCTTGTGCTTTTTCCAGGATTTTTTGTACAGAAAGCATAAAAAGCACTAGATCCTGATGCCTGTGCTAGCTTCACGGGCTCCCCGTCATTGACTAAATCCTAAACCTGGAGAAGAGCTTTCTGATTCAGGGAACTATAGAGGTTTGAATAGTTGACGAATGTACCCCAAAGGAGGCTTCGCGTTTGGGCTTCAGGTGGGCTCTTACGAGAAGCCCGCTGCTTTGCAAACTCCCCGCCCGGCTTTGCAGTCACAAGCTGTGTCCAGATGCGATGGTGCTTCGATGAAAATGTCCACCGTGTGAGGAAACAAAAGCACACTTGCTTTTTTGCACACAAACGGCTTGCTTCGTAATGTAGGAACCTGATTAAGAAACCCTGGGCCTATAACCCCAAAATAGTAGGATTCATATAAGGAGCCCTAATAAAGGCCACAGGTTTCTTAATCAGGTTCATACATTATATTTGTTCTGTCGTGAGCTTGAACTTCAGATCCTAAGTCTGTCTAAATACAAGTGTCCTTACAGTGTTGTTACGGTGTTTTGGGAGGGGGTTCTAATCTAGTCTTAACGGTACGTAGCTGGCACAAGAAGAATGAAACCCATAGATGAAATTCTGGGCACAGTAGCAGCCTGCAGCAGCCGCAAAGACATGAACTGGTGTACGAACCATCGCGACATTGGCATCGACAATTGCAATTAGTTTACTGGGGGGTTGCATTTTTTGTCACTCGTGGAAGTGCTGGACAAAAAGTGGCACCAAGCCTTGAAGGAAACAGGGCTTCAACTTGCTTTGCACAATTGCAGACAGCCCCAAGGAGCCGTCAAGCTCAACAATCCATGCCAGCCCGCCCTAAACCCTAAGCCCTAAACCCTGAACCCGAAGCCTAAACCCTGAATCCTAAGCCCTAACCCTAAGCCCGAAACCCTGAACTCTAAGCCCTAAACCCCGAACCCTAAGCCCGAACCCTGAACCCAAGCCCTAAACCCCGAACCCTAAGCCCGAAACCCTGAACCTTAAGCCCCAAACCCTGAACCCTAATCCAAACCCTGAACTCTAAGCCCTACACCCTAAGCCCGAAACCCTACGCCCTCCGTAGCTTTTGCTCTGATTTACCTTGGGTTAGTAGGGAATGGAAGAATAGTAGTAAAAGTAGTTATACTTGCACCCCATTCCTCCATTCCCTACTAACCAAAGGTAAGATATAGGATTATTAAGGCCCCTATATTATAGTACCTTTATAGATCCCTTATAGTAACCCTTAAAAGCCCCTTTATAAGGCCCCTTCCGTTCCCGGTAAGTTTGAAGCCCCGGTGGTCAGGAGAGACCTGGCCGACTCGCGAAGATGAGCCTTGGCTCACACGGGGGGTTTCCGAAATGAGGGGGTACCTTAGGGTTCCTTTAAAGGGCTACTATAAGGTTACTTTAAGGGTTTCCTTTATAGGGCGACTAAAAGGGTACTGCAAGGGTTGTATTAAAGGGCTCTCAAACCGAAAATGAAGGGTACCGTATTTTTGGGGTGCTTATAACAAGGATCCTCGTACTATTTGGGGTACTAGCTTAAGGTTCCGTATTTTCGGAAACTCTTGTATGGGGCCATTGTATCGGGTGTATAGGGTTTAGGGCTCAGGATTAAACTGGGAGGGATCCTAATCTTGGGTCGACCAGAAAGGACTTACTTAGGTTTAGGGCTAAGGGCGATTGTAGTTGGAGGCTTGCAACGTTGGGTCGATTTTGAAGGGTGTTTTACGGGCCTGGACAGGATCTTAGATGGGATTGTAAGGACTGCAGGGCTCTATGTCGTGTCTGGAGAAGGTTTCACAGGCTTGGTTGTTGCGAAGGGCCTTCGCATGGACTGGGTTTATGTGAGTTGCTTGCGACGGTGCAGGGTTCGGGACGAGACATGACTGGAGACCAAGCCTTTGATCCGGTGCTCGGGGTCCGCTAAGCACGAAACCCTAAACACCCCAATGCCTTTGACCCGTAAAGGAGACCTAAGAGCTCTTATGGAACCGTCAACGGGAGCCTTAAATGAGCCCTTGTAGCAACGCCGAACAGACGTAAAGGAAGCCTCAAAGAAACCCTTCATGCAACCCTTATCGAACCCTTCATAGAGCCTTCAAAGGAATGGTTAAATAAACCCTTGAAGGAGCGCTTTCGGGAGCCCTTCTCGAACCCCTAACGACCCGAAAAAGACCCCGCGACTGCAAAGGAGTCTCGATCTCCGCTTTCCGCCAAAAGACCAGGAGGATCGAGGCCCCCTTCAGGGGATTCTTAGGGGTTTCGGGGTTTAGGGGCTTGGGGTTCAGTGTTCAGGGTTTAGATGTTGATAGGGTTTCAAGTTGGGTTCTGGCGTGGCTTTAATAGGGCTGGGGTTGTACATTGTTATTATTTTCATGGTGCTTTACAGGGTGTTTAAGGCATTACAGTGTTTCTATGATGCATTAACAAGGTTTCATTACAGTATTTATTTTTGTGCAGGGTGTGGGCTTGCTTTGGGTGTTCTTCTACCTTCCAGTGGTCCATGTGCACATGTTTTGGGTTTCCTCAACAGTTGTCAGGTCCATGGGGTTTTTTCAGCCAAGGATGTAGGTACAGAGACCCTATCAGCCCTATCACTATATTATGACCAAGGGTGGTAAGGCCTTTGCTTGCCAGGCATCGGGCGTGCCTCCTTTGTCGAGGCTTGGCAGGCCGTGGTGGGAAGCAGGGGTTCGGATCTCGGATGCCCGATGACTCAGAATGCTGTTGATGTTTAGTGCTCTGTGAACAGCACCATATATAAGCCCTCGCAACCCATAAGCCTCAAGCCTCCAACCCCATTTGCATCTGCACATGATTGTCTAGCAGATTCCAGTTGTAGTATGGCCTTTGCTGGCCGCCCTTGCCTTCACCTCGCATGGCCGAGAAGTCTGTCGGTGTAGCAGACACGTGTATTGCTTGTCACGTCTTCCTCACAAGTAGGTTGCTGTGAGTTCAGACAGCGATGGGTTGCTTCTCGTAAGACTCCAGTGAGTCTAGTGTAGCCGAGAACCCCATAATTTTCGCCGCGGGCATCAAGCCCTATAGACTCTAGACCTGACACCATAGTTTCTAAGCCTCAGCCCAAAACCGTAAGCCCTAAGCCCCATAAACCTTAAGCTCTACATCCTAAATCCGAGGGCAGCCAGGGTTCGGGGGCCCAGGGCTACTGTTCGGTTTGCGTGCATGCGGGTGTATGCATAAAGTGCAACAGGAGTCCAATTGTCCTTTTGCGCCTTGTACTGTAAGGGTGTTTCATTGCTTCGGCAGATACTCCAGCCCTCCTCAAACCCTGAACCCTAAACTGCAGGACATGGGCTCTCGCGCTCATGCTGCCGACGCCAAAATCGTGTTCGGTTGCTCGGCACCGGCATGTTTTCAAGCAGCTATGCTCGGAAGTTTCGTTGGTCCATGACGGTTTGTAGGAAGCTTCATGGGGCTACGCTGTGCCAGACTCCAGTGTTTCTTCGGCCTGGGCTGTACCGGATAAGGTTCAATTGCCTAAACTCCAAGCTGCTGGTTCTGTTCGAGCCTCCCTCCGGAGACTCTTGAATTCTCTTCCTAACTCCTAAACTATACCTGGTTCGACCCTACTAACCCGTTGAGTTGGGCTACGGCTGTCGCTCCTTGGTCCCCAGACTGGTCGGGAAATCAGATGAAGGTGCGTGGAAGTTAGGAGCTTAGTTCTGGGGTTCTTACCCTAAGAGTCCAAAGGACTCTTGCATCAGGTCCTAATTCCATGAGTCCCCTGGACTCTTAGGGCAAGCAATTAGGTGTTTGAGTTGAGGATAGTACAAATGTAGTTTAGTATTTTGGGAGTATGTTGATTAACGACCTGGACCCTGAGGGCTTCTGCAGCAGATGCATGGGGGTTTGGGGGCTGACCCTCACGCAGGAACTGATTATCAAGCCATGTGTTACATCACATATTGTAATGTACTATTGGACTATACCATACTATGTTGCATCATATGCAAACAGTTAACAGGGACATTGTAAGCCCATTATCGAGGCTACGGAGTGGAACACAATCCTCTTGCCCCTGAAGCCCAAGTCATCCTAAAGCCCAAAGATGCAAGCCTCGCAGCTCTTGAAACCGTGCAGCAAGCACATGAATCCGCGAGTAGTGACTCCAGATGTGCCCAGGTTTGCTGGACTTTGATGGCGATGGCCGCGCCTCCGCTGTCCTAGGAAGTTGGAGAGTTGGGTTGGGGCAGGGGCTTTGGCTCCGGGCTCGGCATTCATGGGTTAGAGTTTAGGGTGTATGGGCTTAAAAAGCATCAAAGACCGGAGTGGAGGATTTAGGGTGTTCTGGCCTTGTTTCCGTGGGATCAGATGACGGGTACCTGCACTGCCTGGTTGTTGTGGGAGTATGTAATCTTCGAGCCCTAAGCCCTAGTGTGAGCCCCAACAGGGGTGGGTTCGTGCAGGAGCAAGAGCCCGACACACTCTTGAAAACAGTGAAACCAGCTGAGGCATCTATCGGGATCGGTTCCTGATCCTTTGTGATGCTCTTCCGCGGCGTGCGGAGATCTTCGCGCTGGCAGCCGCTTGTGCTTTGATTCACTGCAAGCATCTTTAGGGCATGGATTTGAGGGTCTGTTAGTGCCAAGGTTAGGCTAAGGGGGTGTATCTATAGTCAATGAAGTTTTGCAAAGCAACCATTTCGAAAATGTTTCGAGCTTCTTCCGTGTGTCAGGGCTTTCAAGCAACATGTGAGGGTTTTTTGGGGCCCAACTTTGCAATTCCAGACATGCCAATGTATGTTTGTCGAAGATCGATGTGGCAAGTTAGCGCTTTGGTGTTTAAAGCTCGACACAGAACCCACAACTCTGCACCCAGATTCCTGAACACCCTACTTCCTGCTTGTGTTGGGGTTGAGGGTTCTCATGTTCATGGCCCTAAACCAGCCCACAGAACCGAACAGCTACTTTTTGAGGATTTGTCGCAGCATCTGGTGAAGACTTACGGCAGTCTTCCTGATGCGCACCTTCGCCGGCAAGTGAGGTTTCGGGAATCGCACAGAGCTTCTCCAATTTGAGGGAGTCCTGAAATCGAAAGAACCTTCCACAATTCTGCCTGCTACTGCTATAGGGTTTCAGACAAGTCAATATTTCGAAGGCCCTTGGGGCACTTCAAGAAGCCTTACCAGGGCAGGTTGGCAATAAGGATACTGTGCTGCTGAGCGGCGTTTTGTTGGCGCCTCAACTGGGCAAGGCTTGTGAATGTAGACTCGAGACAGAATTCCGAACTTCGTGTATGTGAAGCCGGCATTGTAGCATCTGTCATCCGAAGGATATTGCAAGTGGCAGATGGGCTTTAACCGACATGGTAGCCGCAACACCGCAAGCAATGGACGATGAGGCTGAAGCCGAAAACGGTCTAAACCCACAGCAACAGACCATGACCTGAACACTAAGCCTGTAACCGTGGACGATGTGACAAGTCCTGCCAAGGTATGCGGCATTCGCTAACATATCCGGCGAAGAGGTGTCTCCAAGCAACAAGAAGGCGGCCTGCCCACCCCTCCAACTCAAATCTTGGACCTCGTGCTCGGACTACTTTCAAGCCGTAAACATCTTTCTCCACGAACCTAGAGCATGATGTAGGCTTGATTAATCAGCAGCATCCTTGCAAGTACCTTCTCAGCAATACATGGCAGTACTTTACAGCAATATACCATAACAATGACAACTTATCCCAACTTCGGGAGTCCAGGGTTGACTTCGGCTGTGCCCTCTGCAGACCAAGATAATTACTTGGGTCTTACTGGGCTAGTCCTGAACCGGGAACTTTCAAGCTGGCTTGAACCCATGAGATTCGCGACCACAGATCGTAAACCGTATGCTCCAGGCCCGCCAGAGACCTACACCATAAAATCCCGACTCAAGCCCGCAATCCCAAAGTCGGACAAACTCGAACCTGCCAGCGGGAGTTTAGACAGAACCCTTTCAAAGCTGAACACCAATATCCAAATTTGTGAAAACCCTTGGCCGGACAACCACAAGCAAACCCAGAAATCGATAACCCTGAAACTTCACCCCAACCCGAAACCGCAAACCCCGAATCCCTAAGAAGAGCCTGAGCCTTCAGAAGGGCCGCGAGCAATAACAACTTCGAAGTCTCGAGCATTTGGTTTGTTCTGGCAGTGGAGGCCAAAGCAGCGGCTGAAGCGGGACGCCGCGCATCCTTCGCCTTCTGAGGGAGGAATGAGGGTTTAGGGGATGTCGTGGGAGCAGCACTTATACTTGCACCCTAACATCCTTAACCCCTAAACCCTAATTCTCGAGACTTATGCAAACGTGTTTCGGGCGTTTAATGCATAGGATCGATCAGGATGATTCCGCGGGTGCGTTTCCAGTTTCTAGGTCGAGCCCGACGGCATTCTCGTGTTTAGCACAGTTTGGGGCTCGAGTTAGGGGTTTATAGGCTGCGGCCGGCGATACTACGGTGTAATTGTTGGCAGGTCGTGGATGAATTGCATAGCTGTACGGCGCCTGATGCTGATGCAAAATTGTTTCAAGTTGGTTTGAACCAAGCAGAGATTCTTCACGATGTAGACTCCAATGCACGTAAGCCCCAGCAATAAACTCTACATTGTACATGCGAAGCTGAAGCCCTAAGCCCGGAATCCGGATCTGTGCTGTCCTCTTCGAGCGCAGACAATGTGGCGCTTGGAGGAAGCAAGGGCCGAGACTTCGCGATGGACACCAAAAACTGTCTCTACCGCTCTTCAATCATTTCACTTGGGCTACCCTGTGTTGCAAGTGGTTCTTGATGTTTGGGTGCTTTATTCAGTCGCGTGCATTATGAGGACCCGTAATATGGAAGTGGGGCTGTATGTAGGTCCCCTATAGGCCCTAGACTCGCTTTCGTCCTTGACCCGCGCAAAGTGCTCGAATCTACAAGCAGCCACTGAATCCCAGAGCCTGGAGGTTGAGATTTCTGGGTGAAGGCAAAAAAGGCTTTGACGGCCGAAGCGATGTCAATAGGCGGTATAGTTGCATGTACAGGCACTTCAGGGGACAACTATTGCTGGTCATCTAGGCTTCTGTATCAAGTAAGCTCATCACAGACAGGACCGGCCGACTCGACATCCAGAAGACCAAAACCTGGTTCCCATCTCCTACGAAGACCCGGGTACTATCAATCATGTACCTATGATATGCTTGTGTGTCATGACAACCTTTGCAAGCCATATCCTCTGGCTGTTGACCATGCAGGCGACAGACGGACTGATAGCTTAGGCTCTGACCCCTAGGAGACCTGCCTTTTGAGGGTTCCTTATGGTGCCTGCTGAACGCCCAAGCGCAAAGCCTGATTTGCCAGGGCCTGTCGCAGTAGCCCTCTGCGTGAGCGCTTGGCACGGTAGACTATGCAGCAGCTGGTATTGTCGTTTACAATATGGTATGGTATGTATTATAGTGAGTTGCAGTAACGTATTATATCGCAGTTATACATACTTTGAGTGGAGCTGCGCAGCGTGTCAAAAACTTGCGTCGCATCCGGCATCGGTTTCGGGAGTTAGGTTGAAGAAGCTTGGCAGTTTATCCCAGAGATGTTTATGTTTGTTGGGTGCTGGCACATGGCAACGTCTATCCCATGTGCTGTGAGCGGTTGTAGTCCTGCTCCATTGAGGATCGATTGTTGAGGGCTTCTCATTACCCTGTCACTTGCACACCGGGGCGAGTCTACATACGGACGGGGGTCTAACACCGGGCTAGGTTATGCCTGCGTACTTCTGCACTGGAGGACGCGATGCCATAGGATTTTCCAGCATTGTCCGATCTTTCAGCATGGCTTGAAACCCTGCGCGTGCCTACCTTACCTCGATACGGAGCTGGCTCAAAGTTGCAGCTCTCGGTGCCAGTCTGCAGCATCTCGGCTGATGAGTCTGGGAGCATCCGATGCCACGTCGGCTCGGGTTTCAGGGCTTGCACGGTTTGTATGGAGTTATTATAAATACGCCTGTAGAACTCTGCATAAACAAATTGCAGGTGTCATGTACTTAAACCCCCAAACCCACGACAGCTGGACTTGGACGTCGAGCAACATGCATCACGCCCGGACACGCAGGTTAAGCCACAAGCCACGTGCTAAAGCATCATGGGAACACTGCTTGGCGCACCAATGCTACGGTCAACCGTCGAAAACTAGAGAATCAAAAGACGAAGCCTGAGGCTGTTGGGCGGGAATGCAGCCGGTTGCGGCTGGCCTTCAGGCCTCTAGCTTTGTGGACGTACTTTGAAATATTGGTGTTCGGCGACTGATATCGTGGTTCTGAAGCCTGGGAGCGGAAGTTTGGGGATGTCGGGCTTCTTCACGAGCAGCGAGGCAGGGTGAATGTGCAGGGCTCTTGAAGATGGTTTCAAAACAGGTTGGAAGGATCTGGAACTTTGGAGGCTGAAGTCAAGATGTGTTGAGTCGCTAGGCCATGGCTTGAGCAGATGCACATCCTGAACTCCAAAACCCGATGGGAGATAAACCTTGAAACCCCAAAACTCCAAACCGAGCGGTTGCAGGCCATGGTCTTCCAGCAAGAGCTGCAAGCATTCCTTGAGCCAGAGCACGGCATCCGGGTCGAAGATACGGTGATCTGGCGGTATGCACGGCTGGCACAGTCTGGTTACGAGGACACCGACCCTTCACCCATGCCAGCTATGCATTCTGAAGCCCGCAACCCTTAGGGACGGGCACGAATATTTGGGTTTGTCGGAATCAGCTCCATACCATAGAAGGTCTTGAGGAAAAGCCTTTAGACCTACGTTCGTGCAAACCAAACTTGACATGCTCATGCTTAGAGACGCCAGCCGCATAAATGGGCGCACGGGAGCGGGAACGAGGGCCACATCACAGCATCTACATACAACACGCATTCTGTCGATGAATCCATGGGCATAGGCATAGTCCGAAAGAAGAGACAACACATGCACACGCAGTTTGGGATCGGGTGTTAGACATGTTTTCTTCTGCGGGAAGGTTCATGCTATGCCGTGAGAGCAACGACAGCAAGCAAAGGTACCTGGTTCATTCTAGGGTCCGGGTTTTGTGGTTCGAGTCGAATGACTGGAAGGCACAAATTCTATTAATGATCAGCATAGCATCCCCGTATAGTACTCTATACTCATATTATGATATGCCCCAAACCCCTACTCAGATTGCTTAGTCTCCAGTGTTGCTATCTGCAGTTCTCGAGATGCACCGGAGGAGACGGTGGGGCGCGGATGTCTGGAGACAGCATGCGGCGGGGAAAGGATGCTATACCGAGCAGAAGGACCTGTCCTGTTTGTCCACAACGCCTTGTGCCAAGTCTCGAGTATTTTTCGGGGTTAGTCGGTCTGAATCTACACGGATGATGCTTTATCGTTGCACACATTCGAGAGAGAGAGAGAGAGAGAGAGAGAGAGAGAGAGAGAGAGAGGCACCCTTAAACCTGCAGGTATTTATAACCCGTAGGCCCTGAAGCAATGACAAGCGATCCTATGTCGCTATGTAGACAGTGCGCACAAACCATGGTAGTACTCCCTACTCTAGAAACCTCATGTTCCACAATGAAAACCCCCATAAAAGCGTATAAGATCCAGATGCAAACCTCAAAAACCTGTCGAAAGTTATGATGTTCAACCGCTAATAAGACACAAGGTCGTCAAAATCTGTTATGAAAGCATTGTAAGCCGGTGTAAAGCCTTCATACAATTCCCGTACAAGACCAGTTAAAACCCTTTGAAACCCGCATACGCCTTTGTACCTTAAGCCCGAAATCCTAAACCCCAAACCCTAAACCCGAAACCCAAAACCCCAAACCTAAACCCAAAGCCCTAAACCCTTTTCGGGGCACGGAAGGAGACCGAGAGCTCTGGCTCGCGTGGCCGGGCTCCACGCAGATGGCGCACTGGATCGGTGAATCAGGGCCCCTTGGACTGTGGCTATAAGGGCTCAGCGCTTTAGGCCAACACTTGATTGCAAGTGAACATGTCCGGGGTTTTAGGGTTTTGGGATCAGGTTTTTCGGTTTTAGAGTTTCCAGCCTTAGGGCTTATAGGATTTTAGTAGTGTATAATGACGGGCTTTTGGGTTTGGCGTGGGGGCGAAGCCTGTTGCTTCATTGAGACAGGAACACCACAACTTATTCGCTTGCAGGTTCTTACTATGAACCCGAATATGCAATTTCTATCGATCCTGCAATAGGTTCTTACCACGACTCTACTGGCAACGCCGAAAGATCCTGCAACAAATAGGTTTGGTAGTTCAAGCCTGAAGCAATTGGGCTTGAGAAGCCGAGGAACATGAAGGCATCGGTCTGTCCCTGGCCTCTGGTCCCGCCCGTCCGTGGAATCTCGGTCCGTTGGTGTCATAGAAAGGGGGATGGGGGGGCTGAGGATTGAGGATTATATAATCCCTAAACCCTAACCCCTAAACCCTCAACCCAGTGATTGAAGGTTCGGGGCTTCAGAGTTCGGAGTTTGTAGTTTAGGACGTTCTGGTGTCGGCTCTACGGCTTCGGGCTTCTAGGGTGCAGGTCCTTGCGTGTCGATTTAGGAATATTCAAAGAAACATTCAACAGTTTATGCGTAGTACGAGCTTCCCACCAGCCAGCCGTCCCTTACAGCATCTGCAGATCTTGATCCCTCCGGTCGACAATCAGGTGACTGCCCAAAATCAAACCCCTGCTGGCACCGAGGCCGCTCGCCTCGGTGAGCCGTACAGAAGCTTGAAAGCCCCGCAAGTCTTAAACTGTCAAGGGCACGATACCACAAACCAAGACGTTCAGTCGAGCAGCGTGCTGCGAGCAAGTTTTTCCGTCAAGACGTGGCCGATGAGCCTAAAGTCCCTGAGGCCCGACACTTCGCTGTGCCTGCGCTTTCCCGGAGTTTAGGGGTTCATGGCAGAGTATTAAAGCACGGGATCGTACACACCTAAACCAAGCACCCCAAACCCAAGCTCTGACAACCTAAAGCTGCAATAAGGACCCCCAAACCCCCCTGAACCTTATACCCTACCGCACTTCATGAGATAATTTGAGCCTGGCTGCCTTGAAAAGGGACCCTGAGTTCACCAGCCCTTGCCTGACAAGGAGGAATCCACACAGGATATGCCGAGGCCCTAAAGGACAGGGCTTAACGGTTTGGGGTGTCGGATATTTAGAGTCTGGGGCTACGGGTTTCGGGCTTCCGGCTCAGGTTTAGAGTCACAGGGATGACGGTTTTGGCTTTGGGGCTTCGGTTTTGGCTTCGGGGCTTGGGCTTTGGGTTCGGCTTGTGTTTAGCATTGCTTGGGGTCTTAGATTTGTTTCACTGTTGAACTTTTGACCTTGTGAAGTATTGAAGTGATTTATTAAGCAACTTACAAAATCGCAAATCAGCTTTGTAATGAGCCGTCGAGAGAAATCCCTTCAAGGCAACTCTTGGAGAAAGTTTGAACTCGACTCTTGCATTTTGTCGTCGCCCTCCGTGCCCAAGAGCGGATGTGTTTCTGGACAGCGCCGAAACAAGTTTGTTTCTCGAGATCTCGTGTTCGTAGCTTTCAGGGTACTTTCACCGAATCCGGAACCACTGCCGTGAACACGCCGTTGGGACAGCAGCCATGGCGACAGGATGCATATCCCCATAATCCTGCGACCCTGAACCTACGGGGCTCTAGCTTACGAAGCAACGGGTGCCTGACGACTTGAGAAGCTTTGAAGGACATGGCAGACAGCTTGACGATGCACGTCGTCGAGGTGGCGGGCCTCAAAATTGAGGGGTCCTTACAAGGTCTTGTAATCATTAGAGACATTATCTCCAGAGCTGTAAATCAGGATCCCTTACTTTCCGGTAGTTCTGAATTTAAGGTTTTTGAGGTTTCGCTCTTCCTGTTGGGGATCAAGGTTTAATGTGTGATGGAGTTGGAGAGCCAGGAAAATTCGCATCCGTTGTGTTCTGCTCGCTTGCTACGGAAGCCCAGAAATCCGACCTTCTAGACCAAGGGCTCTTTGTAAAGTTTAAAGGACTGGAAATTGGAAGAACCCCAAGTGGCACCCGTTTAAACGAGTTGCAGTCCTTGGGGGGCCCATACTACCCACATCCTTAGACCATGGCAAGGAACCCTTAACAGCCTCATGACCGTGAAACCCGGTAGTACCTTTCTTAAGCACCAGAAACACGTTCATATCACCCTTTCAAAACTTTTGCAAAAGCCTAATACCACCCGCATCTTGTGAAGCCTTCTTTGCTTTGGAACCCCTTAAAGAAGCCCTTCCAAAGAGTTTCCTGGACAAGGCCAACAAGCCTCAAGTCCTCCGCTTGACGGGCCATTCGCGTGGGGCAGCCCTGGCCACACTGGCAGGGCTCTTCTTGGCCAAGGCCGTAAGTAAACCCTAAACCCTGTTGAGGTCCGTGGTGTTACGGCAGGAACCAAATTAACCTAAACTGGAACTTGCTTTATAAACCTAAGAGATCGCTCACCAATAGATCCAAGGCTGAACCTCTCCAATTTGCCCCAACAGCCATATACCCCGAATACCTTCCATTGCTCCATTAATGCAGGTGTTCCCGGCTTTGGAGATTCGAGTGGTGGTTTTTGGAATGCCGCGCATCGGGGATGCAGATTTCTCAGAAGCCTACCGGAAGCAGGAGAACTTGAAATGGGCCGGGTTCCTTCATGAGCAAGATGTCGTAGGTTTGCTGCCGCCTTGGCTTTGTCACATTCGCCATCCGATTGAGCCGGCGACCTCCTTTCAGACGAGACTTCTGGCGAGTCTTGTGGAGTCTCACAGCATGGAGGGCTATCTCACATCCTTGAGATGCGACTACATGTTGCGTTTCTGGGATGTTCAATGCATGCTGCATGCTGGTGTTCACAATCCTTGTCTTGCTTTCCGCATTCATGTACCAATTTTCTGGAATTTAAACAGGAAGCTCACAGAAACAAGGCACAAGTTGTGCTTCCGAGGCTTGGGAACACCGGCAGAGGCCCAGCAGCTACTCGATGGCATCCGGGACCCTTCGTTGAAATCAGCTCTTGCTGTGTCCCTCCGGGCTCACAGCGAGAGCTCTGCAACCGTCCTACAGGAGGTGCAGCAGATGCAGAGGCGACTGGGGGAAGTTTACCGGGAGGAGCGCTGCGAATCGAACACTTACCCGGAGCTTAATGGTCCACATTAACCTTGTATTTTCCTTAGCTTGTAACGAAACCCTTAACCCTAACTCCTAAGACGTATAGATCTGAACATGTCAGAGGCCACGGCTAACGTTGCGGTCCGGAGAGGATTGCTCGTTCTCAGCGTGCCGTGAGGAGCACTGTCGGTTGAAGGCAGAGGAGATTGTGGGCACCCTGCACTTCCTCGAGAGCAGTGGTGGTCAGGCCGACACCATCAAGTCTAAGTTGATGGATGTCGAGGACAGCACAGCTTAATGCCTACATGCTGATCCCAACATCCCACACAAGCCCTCAGCTCATGGTCGGCTGGAAAATCGAAGTCTCACTTCCTGAAGGTGCCTCCCCAGCCCGGCACAGAGTTTTCTCGGGGGGGGCTGGAGGGGGTAACGAAATCGCTCAAGCGCGCTGGCTCCGCCGCTTCAGCTGCAGCTCCCAGCGTCGCAATCTTCAGCCCTAAACCCAAATGCGAGGCCCTAAAGCTAAGTTTAGGATATAGCCTCTTCTTGATGTATCTTGTTGCACCTAAAGCCTCAAAGCTTATCCCGGAAACTCCAAAACTCCGTTGGCCCGACGGCCAAATCCTGTGAATCCGGAACCGTACATCCGGGAACCCCCGGTTGGGGGATTATGGGGCTTGGAGCTTGAAGCATTCAGGCTTCGGACTTATTCCGTTTAGGGAGGGTTTGTTGAGGGTCTAGGCTTCGATATGTCATGATTGTGTGCGCAGGGTTTTCGGGCTGCAGCCCTAAACCCTACATGCTTGAGCCATCGAGCAGGAGAAGTTGTACCATCTCGCCGTGCACGCGGCAAACGATCTTTCCAGCGAAGCCCGGGCGAAGCTCTTGGAGTTCGTCTTGCAAGCGGCCATCGGCTGGATCGTTCGCCTGGCAGAGGCGGGTTTAGGGTTTAGGCTTTTAGGGCTTAGGGCTTATAAGGTTTAGGGTTCTCCTCAAACCCAGGCATTCATATGGCATATGGGTTTCATACGTGGCTTTATCGTGTTTTGTGGGTTTCTAAAGCGGTTCTTCATATTCTGGTAGACTTAGTACCCCTAACCTGCTGAACCCTAGCCCTAAACCTCTGAACTGGCAAGGCACCCCAACTGTAGAGTTGAGGGTTGGTTTCGAGTAGACCCGACTCCCCTTACAAAACCCCTCGCAGAGCCGCCTCAAAATCTCGCCACAGCCCTTTACGCCTGAGATTTTTACTGGCTCAGGTCGGCCTGGAGAGCGAGATTCGATCGAAGTTGCTGGGCTTGGCCCAGAGGCTCCGATCGCCGTTGTGGCAGCTGGCAGATGAATCTCAGCTGCTTTGGGAGGGATAGCTGTCTGTTCTTCGTTCTTAAAACTTTGCTGCAGTCTTACTTTAGGGGTCTCTTTGGGGTGGTGTAGGGTCCTTGGTGTTGGTGTCTTTAGGAAGCTTCAGGGTTTAGTGATGAACCTCGGCATCTTTGGATTTCTTCAGGGCTTCTATGGAGTTTTACCAGAGGGGTAGTCAGCATTGACTGAGGGCTTTCGGTTGCGGGCTGGCCTTAGGGTTCAGGATTTCATACGGTCTTAAGGATCTTTAGATCGAAATGCGCAGTTCCCCTGTCTTGCCACGCGAAATGGGAAGAAGCATTTGCTGTCTAGACTCTGGACCCCGGATCCCGTGCAATACCGCTGAGGGTGCACAGGACCCCATAACTAGGAACCTTGTCTGGGATTTGTGTGCAAATCCAGGTTGGGAATGGGGAGGGGGGGGGGGGGGGCGTGACTGACTTCAAGTATGTCGACACGTAGGGTCAACCCCTAAACCCTGAAACGCTAAGCTTGAAACTCTGGTCGAGGCATTGCCATGCGGTGAGTTTTTCCAAGCGTTGCCTTCTCTCCAAAAGTTCGAGGCTTTCCATGTGAAGCACCTGGGCATTTTGGAGAATAAGGTCCAGGGTCGGAGGAATTGAGGGATTTAGGGACGTTCACGGTTTTAGGGTATTTGTGGTTCAGGGGGCCAGAGCTGAGGACTTATGACAGAACGATATGGTGGTCCGTATAGTATATATGTTGTTGTGAATCCTATACTCCGGCAACAAAGACCCGAAACCTAAACCTTTTTACATGCAGGAAAGCAGGCTTTAGATCCGGGGCGTGTCTCCTTTGGGGCATTCTTAGACAGCAGTCTCGACAGCCTAAACTTTTTAACCTTAGGCTGGAAAGCCCTAGACCCCAACGTCCTTCAAGCAAAATGCTTTACTGTATGACCTCTCCCTAGCTACCCTGCAAATGCACCGATTCTCGATCCCAGGCACACGCAGCTGGCAGAGCCACTCATTCTCCGGGAAGAGCTCCGACTCCGACTCCTCCCCAAACATTTTCAAGACACGACGCGCCGAAACATGGAGTCGCTTTGCTGTAAAATAGGGCCGAAATGATTACCAACAGTATTTTCCTTGTTCCTTTTTTATTGTGTAGTACAATGGGCCCCAAAACCCTATTCTAATTATTGAGCACCCTGTATTAGGTCCTTTAGGAGAGTTTGCTTGGGGTTTTGGCTTGAGCGTCGGGAAAAGGGAGAAGTCGAGGTTTGGGGTTCAAATCAAGGATTCCGGGCTTTGTGCAAAGTGGGATTTAGGGCCTGTTAGTTATGAGGATAGCGTTGCAACCGGACTAGCCTGAAGCCCCCAGCTTCTCACTCAATGCATTCAGGCCCCTATATTAATTATACCCTTAAAGATCCCTTATAGTATCCCTTGAAGGACCCTTCTAAGGAACGCTTGTTTTGATTATGAAGGCCCCATATATTACATTGCGTGTGTTGCTTCGGTCTCCGGGCTTCAATGCACTTGGTCTTCGGGTCGAGGCGATGTCTTGGGATTGAGCGAGGGTTTAGAGTTCAGAGGTTCCAACTTGGAGGTTTGGGGGGTATGATCTCAAGTTTAGGGCCTAGAGCCGCCAACACCAGAAGGTATTTAAGAAGGTATATACCAGGAGTCCCCGAGTTTGCGGCACTTAAAGGCAGGCCTTGAGCAGTATGAGTGAACAGCCAAGGATTCGTACATTCTTCAGAGATCTCTGGCTGGAACAAGCACAGGGAGGTGGTGTGCAGCTTTGGAGCGGCCAAGCTTTCAATACTTTGAGTGAGAGTGGATCTGCGCTCAGGGTTTAGAGCTTGGCTTAGAGCCTCAGCGTTTAAGCTCTTGGGCGTCAGAGTGAGTTTAGGATTCGCATGATTCTGGGCTGCGCAGCAGTTATTTCTGGTGTCGGGTCCATTCGCCAGATTGGATCAGGCCCGATCAGGTGTTTCCAAACCCGATTCTACCTTCGCGACTCTAATCCCTGACATACAAACCTCCCCAAACCAGATCCTAAACCTGCAAACCCCCAACCTTCAAAGCCCAAGCAGCCAAGCAGTGGCAACCCTGTAAATCCCTCGAAACCTCGACACCTCAAAAAACACATCCCCAAAACCCAGACCCCAACATCCCAGACCCCGCAAAGTAAAAACCCCACAAAGCTGGAAGCCGGATTAAGGCCAAATTGTGCTGGGATTCCTTATACATTACTCTTAAGGATAGAGGCTATTGGGTTTCCAAATTTTAGGCTCCTACTGTAAGTAAAGCCCCAAAGCCTAAACCTTCTTCATTCCAACCTGAGGCCAGGGAGATCTCGGAAGCCGACTCCCGGCTTACTTTAAGTCTTCAAAGGTTTGTGTAGGGTTTATAAGGTATCGGGATGTATGGGGTTTAGGGTTTAATTTTAAGGTGTGGACAGGGTTCTCGGTTTTTCGGGTTTATATGAGCTGTATAGGGCTTGAAGGGCTGCGATTACACGGTTACAGTTTGTTCAACGATGTGTGTCTGTGTGTTCAACGGCCCTTGCAAGTCTTCACGGGAGTTGACTGAGGTTCAGGGGTAAGTTTTTTGGGATTTAGGGCTTGGGCTTAGAGGTTTAGAGCTCCGGATTTCGGTATGTTGGCTTCAGCCCTCCCTGCCTTAGTTATGTAAACATTCCCACGCATTGAACCCAGTGTGAAGGGTTGGATTTTTCGTTTGGCTCCGGCGGGGGGTTGGAGTTGGGTGCTTGGGTGTCGGAGGTTTAGGCTTGAAGTGTAAGCTTTAGCTGAGAGCTGCAGCCATCAGGCTTAAGGGATCACGGTGCGAGGTTTAGGTTTAGGCATCGGTTCTTGGTGCTAGGCGCAGTGCGCCCGTGAAAAGAGAGGGCTGGACATGTAGGGGTTTTTGGACACCAAGGACTCATCAGTATGCTGGAGCACATTATCCAGGAGGTGGAGTCCGACGACCCTGACGTGGAACAATACTTGAAGCTGGGGTTTGATTGGAGTTACCTCGAAACCCTCAAAATCCTCAGGTGCCCCAGCCCGCAGAACCCTTCAGATCCTAAAGTCCTAAAATAAACCAAAAGCTCCTCTCCGTTAAGGAATGTTGCTTATGCAGAAGTTCATTCGCTGCAAGATCGCTTGGAGGCTTTGGAAGGCTTGCCGGAGGTGGGGCAGCAGGGTTCGCGGTTCAGGGACTTGGGCTGCTAGGGCCGCTAGGGTTTTGCTATGGCGCTGCAGTTCAGAATATGAGGTCTGCTTATGAATAGCAAGAGGATCCCGAATGCAGACCACAAGCAATGCGCAGTAAGCCCTGCCGGGTAAAGTCAAGATCCAGCAAGAACCAAGCCCGACACTGTAAACTCTGAAGCCTGACCTCCAGTCTTTCCGAGCCAAGTTTTGTCCACTCCCAGGTGGTTGTCACAGGACCTACAAATTCGGGCAAGAGCTCTCTGGTCAATGCTCTCCTTGGAACTTGTGCTGGAAGTTGGGAGTTTGTAATTTGGGTATTGGGTTTAGGCATCTCGGGAATATAGCCAGGGATTTATACCATGTATGGCTTAGGGTATACGGGTCGGAGAGTGTATTGGGCGCTGTTGTTCATTGTAGCAGACTTTTGCTACAGGTCTTGGGCTTTGGGTGAAGGGTTTGGGTGGGATTAGCGGTGAGGGCACTTGAAAAGTGCACCGTTTCGGGTCCGGAGAGTTGGGAAATCGATGCCCGAAACATTAAACTCCAAGCCCTGAGTGAGAGTTCAGAAAATCAGAGACCCCAGCATACGCATGCAAAACCAGCAGATTTTGTCGATGAGTTGCAAGCTGCGTCCACGTTTTACCTGTGAGCCTTGAGCTCCCAGCAATACCTCAAGAAGATGCCAAGCCTTTTGAGCCACCAAGGGTCCGTAGCCTCCCGGTACTTGCGCCATTTCCACGGCCTAGGAAGAGATCTGACTTCAGCCACGGCTGTCCCTGACTCTTTGTTTCCAGTGCGCTTGGTGCCGCATGAAGGCGCGTCGCTAGCTGCTTTGCGCTTGTCAACATCCGGCTAGCAATTGAGCTCCTGGTGTTCAGTGATGTGTCGGCCCTTTGTATAGTCTTGCTCTAGCGGAGTTTCAGAATATAGAGGATGTTAGCATAGAGCCCCAAATAATAGTTAGCATAAGGATCCTCAGACACGCTACTTATGCTAGTTCTCTGAAGCTCGCAAAAACCCGCAGCACTCTTCGGAGTCGTGATGAAGACCTTCCTGAAGGATTTCTGAACAACCCCTCATGGAACTCAGTTCTAACCATGAAGGCTGTCTAGTGCTCCCTAGAGCTCTACAATTTCAATCTGGGGGGGGGCTCCGAGACTTCGTCAGCAAAGATGTTCAGACGAACTCCTCTTCAGCGCGTGTGGCACCAAAGATCCGCCTTAAACCCAAATCTGAGCTTCTTTCAACTATTTTCAGGGCTCATGTACTCCTGTTGTAGGGATCCTTGCAGGAAACATCCTACATTTAAAGCTTGGCCTCTGTAGCAAGGCATCTTGTTCTTTGAAACTCCCCAAGATCCAAGCACCAATGCCATCAGGCTCGCATTACCGTCTCAAGTTCGACGGATCTTGCGCAGACGATTTTGTCAGCAACCTGGACTCCACGTCTGCGCCCCAGACATGAGGGCGCAGTTTCTTGGGCTTTACTTGTTGGGCTGTGCCTCTGTGCTGCGAGTATTCTGCCTCGGTGCACCTAGCCACCCTCAGACCCTCTCTCAACCACTTGCCCTGCCCAGGCTTCAGGCATGTCTAGCATCTGGGGAGATGAAGACTGAGCAGGAGGTGGAGGAAAAGATTCACCTGATCAACTCAAAGATGCGGGCGTTTTTCAATTCGGAGGCTTTTCAACAAGTGTTCCACGTTACTGGGCCCTGGTAAACGAGCTTAAATTAAAGTTAAGTTACCGTCGTTGGGGTGGACAGCACAACGACGGACTGCTTTGTGTAGTGGCTTGAAAAAGTTCCTGAGCAAGAACTCAGGTCAGCGACGGATGGCTGCAGGTTTGTGCTGATTGGTGCCTCCTTGTGGAAGTTCCTTTGGGCTGCCGCAACCTTCCCTTCACTTTGGTGGACTTGCCGGGAAACAGCGCAGCTTGGCTAGTCCATACACACATCGCGGTTCTGATTCTTTCGGGTCGAGTTTCACGATTTATGTAAGGCCCCGTAGAAGTATCAGGGACCAAGTTTGAGTTTCTCCAACCGTAGCAGGAGATAAAAACCTGAATGGTCCTTATGAATTATACATCTTATGAGTTCTTTAGACTTCATGCCTCACGGCTCCTCAATATTCCTATGAGTCTCTGTAACCCCCTATCACTTTGAGGTGTAGAGTTCAGGGCCTCGTTTGGGGCTTGAACTAGGACTCTTCAGGGCCACAGGCCTAAAGTTTCATCCTAATCCTTAGAAACCCCAAACCCTAAACCCCGTCTCGAACCCTAAACCCTAAACCCGAGTCCTGCTAGTTCTGGAGGCCCCAGAGTTCAGAGAGCGCCTGTTCCATGCAACCGGGGATCCGGGTAGAGAGGTAGTGAGTCTTCAGTGTAAATCACGCGCCGGAACGGTTGAGAAAGTTTGGGAGTTCTTCTGGATTAGCGAGATATTGCCGAAATCCTCCTCTAAGGAAGGGGGCGTTGCAGGCGAGTTCATCAATGCGATGATCAAAGGCAGCTGCCGGAGAGCAATCGCAGCTTTGCTCACGGTTGGCCCGGACCATCTGAGTCTTGGCGTGTACGCGTGAAGCAGGTTTTAGGGATTTTAGGGTTTTGGAGATCTGTAGTATAATCTGTAGAAGGTTTCTCTGCGATACTGCAGTTGTTGACTTGTGGTTTCAGATTCGGTTCTTGGGCTGCAGGGTGCTGCTGTCAAAGGTCCAGGACTTTCAGCCCCAGAAATTCATTAGCGAAGCCCCTGCGATATGCTCTCACATGAGTTTAGGGTTTAAGGCTTAGCCCCGAAACACCCAAGACCCAAACCTCCCGAATCCAGGACGGAGCTGCAGGAGAAAGGGGGCGTTGGCCCAAGACAGCGATACTTTGCGGGAGTTGAGACCTTCGGTGGTGATTGCGTTTTGATGACGAAGGCCTTGGGAGTTGGTATCGGCTGCGTGGTTTGTCGGAGAAATCAGGAGAAGAGTGGGCTTTCATGGAGCTTACAGAAGGTTTTTGACTTGGAAGTTGAGGCAAGATTTCTCTAGTTCGAGATCTAATCGACAGTACAGCTTTTAAAGTCTACAAGCAGGTCCTCACAAAGTGCGGCAATGCAAAGTGCCTTCCGTGCGTGGTTCATAGACCCCTCAACCGGACCATCAACATATTTAGTCTCGCGCGTGCTGGGTTCGAGGGGGCAGACATGTCGTGTTTGCTTGGTCATGGTGCAGGGCATAGCTGCATGTTGGAGCGCTGCTCCATTCCACAACTTCGGAACGTATGCCCGAAGCAGATAGATGCCCAAGCCCAAAGCTGCCAAAGCTTGTCCAAGATGTACTTCGTGAGCGCCATGCAAACACGTTGTTGAGGCAGCTGTAATTGAGACGAATCCGAAGGTTGCTGTTTCCTGCAAATCCCAATCCTTGTAAGGACTGTCATCACCCCCAGCAAGTCCGGTATCCCTGTTATTAGTCAGGGTTCTACAGTACGCACGGAACTCTCCCAAACCTGTCACCCGAGCATTTTCTTTCCAACAGCATTCGCACCGGAGCCCTCAACCTTGCTAAGTTTTGAAGTTTATTGAAGCTCCAAACCCTAAATCTTTCAACCCCAACCCCACACCCCAATCTTAAGCCTGATGCAATCCTCAATCCAGGATGCCAGCCTCAAACCCAAACCCTGTGTTACAGACAGCCACATGGTACAGGTTGCTTCCAAGAAACTGGAGAGAGAACTTCGACCTGAATTGGAGAAGCACGCGCGGACACTGGAGCCGCCACCCTTGGCGGTCAAGCTGCTGGGCTTCTCCGTAGATGGGGGAGGCGGGGAGTTTGCGTTCACTGGTTTGGATGGGTGTTGGCATAGTGGGGTGGCTATTGAGCTTCTGTATGGTAGCTTGTTTGTTTGAGAGGGTCGGCTACAAGCTGGAGTGTGTTGTTTTGCTTTAAGTGTTGTGATTGTGAACATGCACCTGGACGCCTGCCTAAACTGTGCCTTCCACTCTGCATCCTATCCATTGACCAGAGGCGCCCGGAATGTTCCTGACACAAGCCATGTCCCTCGGCTGGCTGCGTCCACACCAATCGTACAGAATCAGGAACGTCCGATTGATAAAACCCCGAATGAGTCCCAGGTTCGTGAACAGCTTCCTGCTCCGTGCTCACGGCATCAAGGAAGCGGGGCCTCTTCCTTCAGAGTTTCCTCCACAAGGAGGGGCAGCAGAGCAAGAGCGATGCCGATCTGCATTCCGAGGAGCCCGTGGCCAAGACTTGGAGGACGAGGAGGACTTTGATGGCAGGAGGATTGAAGAAGAGCTTGTGAGGAAGTTCGCAGCCTTTCCTGACAGCTGCAGCTTCCCATGCTTCATATCTGCGTTTGTGGAGAGTCACCTGCCAGCCATGATTTTGGAGCCTACTCTTCGAAAGATCAGGGAGAACCTGGCGGCTGCTAAGAGCCGTCTCGAAGACAGGATGCAGAGTTTCCGGAAGACACTGGAACAGAGACAGCGGGAGATGGAAGCATGTCAGGCGTTGCTGAGCCAGAGCCAAGACGATCCCCGTCTCCTCCTGAGTGCCTCATGCGAGGAGACTGTTTCAGGAATTGTCGAGAGAAGAATCGGCGCAGCAATTTCCAGGGCAGCAAAGCTCCTAAGCACCAGCGCCGATCAGCTGAGCAGCGCAAACCTGAACGCGGCTTTCAGCTCAGAAGTCGTCGACCTCTTTCAGAGGCATGTTATCAAGGGCAAACGGACCCGATTCAATGCCTTGGAAGCAAAGTCTTTCGACGAGAAGATCATGAGATCTATGGCCGCTGATGTCATCAAGTTCTTGCAAGAAGAAGCCTTGTCCTGGCTGGAGACCACGGAAGCCTGCATGGACTGCGAGGATGTTTTGCATTCTGCGAGACGCAAGGTTGTGTATAAAAGCACGGGCCGTGTGACACATCATGCTCAAAGCGAGATGTCAAACGGGAAGTTTTCCTTGCTGGAGAAGAACCAAAGAGGGAGTTTGGATCACAAGGCAGCAGGCGGGGCTGCAGTCGCCCTTGGTGGCCTTGTAATGTTGGCTATCGCCGCTCCCGGCTTGCTTGCCGTGGGCATGGTGGGTGAGGGGGCATGCATGGCCCTTCTTGGAGGCGCAATGCATTGGGCGGCAGGCTGCGAGCTCGGTAAGGGCGATTGGTCCGAGGAGTCCTGGTTGGAGCGTTTCTCGAAATTGACAGAGGCCTTGATGAAGTGGTACACCTCCGTGCTGAACCAGGGCCTCAAGGAGGAGATCCAGGAGCAGCTGAGGCATCTCCATGCCGTCGACATGGATGGAGTCGAGTTGGATGCCTTAGAGCAGAGGTGGCAGAAAGCCTCGACCGGAGTGGGACACCTGGATGCTCTCGTCGTGGGCTTAAGACAGTCCCCTTCGGCCTCAACCTCCCTGTGAGAGGTCCAGAACCTTCCGAAGAGCGCCGGCGGGAGGTCTTTTCCGAAGTATATATTGTTATTGCACTGACTTGACTCGTGTTCGCAAACGCACTGAATTCGAACGGTTGCACCTGTCTGGGCTTCGACTGGATTACCAGATGCTCACCAGCCATTGTCATTATAACTCGGGCTCATATGCCTTGAGCTTATCTTCCAGACAACAAAGCTTCACTAATCGGAGTTTGTTGTTTCCTCTTGCTCCCGATTGCCAGTTCCCCCGGTCTTCGGGTACAAGATTACGGGAATCGGGACAAAGAACTTAAACGCCTGGTCATAAGGAAAACCAGTCGGGCCGGGTTTTGACATGTAGTAATTAGGGGTACCTTATCTTGGGGTCCTTACAACAAGGGTCCTACTATTTAGGGTATTACACGAGGGTCCTCATAATAAGTATAGTAGGGACCACAGGCAAGGGCCTTAGGATTAGCGGTTTGGGACCGAGGCGAGGGGCAAGTGGTGTGTTGCGATTTCTCGTCGTTGGTGCCGGCACCTCGAAGTAGCTCTCATGGTCTATGTAGGACTACGAAGAGAGAGACAAATCTGACAGCTGCTGGAAGGTTTCGAAACCGAATGCCAGTTCCTCTGAGTTGGTTTTCTTCTTGTCAGTGTATCGCGGTCAGGAGGAGTTTCCGATCGTAAGCAATTCAGAAGGGAACCGTCATTTTCAACACTGGCGTTCTCAATTCATTTTTGGTGAGATTCCTATTGCTCGGTTGGTGATTGGTTTAGGGCTCATGCATGCCTTTCCAGTCGTGCATCGGGTTGTGGAATGCAAGTTTGGCCCTTTCTAGACGATCTGGGTGTCGGGGTGGCAGCGCTCGGCCGAAGCTTAATGTCCAGGATCCACGTAAACGCCACCGGTGCGAACAAAATTCACTCGGCAGCACATGCGCCCAAAACGAATTTGTGTCGGTTGTCTTGATGCCTGCACTAAACTCGACTCGTGAAGCGTCTGAGATTTGCCGAGATGTCCGGCCTGGCTCCAGGAGGCGTTTCTGGTCTTGCTTCTGGATCCTGATGCGAGATGGGCCCTCAAAAGCACAAGACTGGATGCAACGTGAAAAGCCTCGTAAAGGATCCAACAAAGCAGAAATCAGGTTGATTCAGATCGTCTAGAGCTGACTGTAGGATTGATGGGATGCTTCGGGTGCGCTTGAAGGTAGTAACCGTCAGAATCAGAAAGAGCTCATCGTGGGCCCACCCCTTGTAGCTCGGAATTCGAAGCCATATAGACTGTTCGACGCCATGGACATCAGTACTGCCGCGACACATTGCTTGAGCTTTGGATCCAAGGACGTTGGCACCTTGTCCAAAGCTTTGAAGAAACGGCTATAGGCTTAGTCAGCAGGATCTCGCGGCAAGCTCGAAGATTGCTGTAAACGTCTTGTAGGATTAAGATATAGGTGACGGTGACGGGTTCAGAGTTTAGGGCGGCGAAGTCTCGGGTCTGCGCCCGAACTTAAACCCCCGCAAGCAAGCGTTTGTCTGGGGTAGCACAAGCAGATTCGAAGAAGGACCTGGTCAAGTTCGAAGAGGGTCAGAGATGCTCAGGTTTGGTGCTTTAGGGTTTCGGATGTAGGGTCCTGGGTGCAACAAGGTTCGGTTTGAGCTTTCTGTCTTGGTGCAAAGTGCTTTTTCTACGGATCAGCGGACTTAGCAAGTACGGTTAGTAGCTACCAAATCACGTCTAGCTCCTGTACTAGCCCGATTACTGTACTCAGAATACGGTACCTCTAATTTTCGGAAACTCCTACTTACTATGCCCCCCGGATCTCCACAGAAAGGCTATCGCTGAGAGCTCAACCGCACTTCTCCAGGTGCCAAGGGCCGGCAATGCGCCACCGAAGCCAGGCTGAGTCTCAACCCCAGGGTTCCCTTCAGTCCCGATGGATAATAACAATAACAGTAGAGATTAAGAAGAAGAAGAAGCAGAAGGAGAAGGAACCCACCATATTTCGGGTTGACATAAGGGCTCCTGGTTCATTGTGAACTTTAGGGCTCTCATTTCATTCTGAAATTCTCCCTACTTGGTATTTTTGGCACCCCATTTCGGTGTTTCAGGGTTTAGGGTCTTCGGTTTTGCTTAGAGCTGGGGCTTCAGGGTCACTTGCTTCATTGCGGTCACAATTTGCTTGGGAACGATAATTCCAATCAAGGCATCCCGCTCAGAACTGCGTGTAAGGTTAAGTTTTTGTGGGCTGCTGGCGCGCTGTCTGGAAACAGGCCATCAGAGCCCAAAGCAACCATTATGGTACAGAAGAGGTGGACATGAAGCGTGGTTCTCTTGGATTCATGCCCTGTCTGCCTTCTGGAGCTCTGCGAACGGGTGCGTTTTTTAAACATGTGGGGTCTAGGAAGCTTGAGGGATCCCAGTAGCCGCTTCACAGAAAGCACGTCCAGATCTGCTTCATCCAAAGTGCGGATGTTTGCTGCTCCAGCTCGCGATTGTAGCTTCCTGCTATTCACAGTTCTTTCCCACTCGCTTCTGGCCGTGCTGCCACCTTACCCGTTGCCTTCTGTCCTCCCATGGCCCTCAGCCCGAGACGGCGACTTGCAGCTTTAATTACATGAATTGGACCAGCACGCACTCAGCACCGAACCTTCCGAGCGCGTAACGTGTAAGTGTAGCCCCCGCCCCCTTCAAGGCACACGGAAACCCCAAACCCGGCTCCTTGCGATGCCAGTGCCGGGATGTTGCAGCTGGGACCCGCTGTGCTCGCTTTCGGGGCCGCACTTGACTTCCGTTCTCTTCGGGCTCGCCTCAAGTGTATTTGGGGCCTCTTCTGGGACGATGTTTCGAATACA